TTACGTGATAATTTCTTCCTCTCTGATTCTTTCTTTCATTTTCTCTCTTGTTATAATATGAATATTATATTACCAGATAAATGTTTGGACGGATTAGGTCATGTATTATGAAAAAAGATCACACACAAATAAACGATACATTTAAAAATGTATTTCGTTGTCGGCAAAGATTTGACAATCTTAGAACAATTTGAGGGAAAAGACAGAGATGAAAATGAGAAATATATAACACGTTTTCTCTCATTTCATATTCTCCACGGTGCCAGAGAAAGTATTGAAACCCGCACAGGCACTATATCTGAATTTGACTACAACCTTGGGTAATGTAACACAGTAATTATAAATAATGTAATATTACATTATACTAATAATATAATATTAAATAATTATTATAATTATAAATTATAATATATTATAAATATTATAATATACTACTACAAACGTTTTTCAAACTGGGTTCATAAAAAATAATTCATTTACGCTCTATAAATTCAACAGCGCATGCATTTGAGCGGTAATTATATCTTTGAATTCCGAATGAAAAAAACAACAAAATAACAAATTATCAATTTCACTGACACGGAAAAGTCTGAGTCCTCCTTCATATTACGATTGTTTCAATGTAGAGAGAGAAGGAGCCTCTAAGTGAGACCCTGCGGGATACCTCGGCAGGTGCAGCCACCGCCGCCGTATGTGCCATATACGGCGCCGGAGCGGCGGCCGCGCGCCGCATCGTCGATGGGCCCCGCGGCGCGTCGTGTGGCGGCGGCGGTGGCGGTGGCAGGCGCAAAAATCGGCGGCCGCAGGAACGCGCCCTCTCGCCCGGGCGGGCGGTCTCCGACGCCGCGGAGGCTTGCGCCGCAGCCGCTTGACGACGGGTGTTGGAGCGCCAGCAGCGATTGCGCCTGGAGCACACGTGTCTGAAACCGCGTCGAGGAGTGTTGCTCTTTTTCCAATCAGCACAAATGTCGAGAAGAAAAATAGAACTACAATTGTTATAAATGTTTCAAATATAATTACATTTAAATATTATAGATATAACTGCGATAACGAAAACTTTGGAATTTGGCAGTAATTGGGAATTACGGATTATAATACGGAAATTCTGATACGGTTTGATAATACAGTCGATTCTGGTTGCAGTGAACTCGGAAATAGTGAACCTTTGGTTACAGTGAACTAAAGTCATTGGTCCCGTTTAACTTACATTACAAATAAGCATCAGAAGATTCAGTTTTAGTGAATCTCGGTTATAGGAAATATAACGACCTGAAAGTTAATTCCTTCCTGGAAAATAATATACCGTCTCAGTGCCACAAATTCCAACACTAGGCAGCTTGAAAAAAATATCGGCGAAATGTCAAATCGAAGAAGTCTCCCCTGAGGTGAACATAGAAGACCTGGGACCTTGCAGATGACCTCATGCAGCTCAGTTTCAAGCTTAATGTTAAGTGAAAGTCAGCGGGTGCGAGTTGTATTCTACGCACGCGACAGGAAGCGCGCGACACCCACAGCCTCCCGATACCTGCCGTGCCGCGCGAAAAAGCGATCAGTTTAATTAGGCATTTGAGCCTTGCCGAAAGGACCTTGTATGTTACTAGGCGAGTAAAAGGGCCCTCGAAGAGTGGGGTGGGGCTTCTAACAGTTTACGAGGCATCTAAGGGTGCCAAGACTGCAGTACGAGAGTTGGTGAGAGTAGATAATGCAAGATAAAGTATAGCGAGAGCACGAACTCTCGAGAAGGATATAAAGAAATTAGTAATGAACAATGTACGAAGCAAACAATTCAAAAGTATTGATTTTTAAAGGAACAATAAATATATTGTAATTTTCAGTGCGTGCTGTTTGTGTATTTTCTGTATACCTATATATTTTAATAAAATCAAACATTGTGGAGATATTCTATTTAATTTTGACATCCTCGAATTTAGTGAACCTCTCTAATAGTGAACTACAAATGTTAGTCCCCAGAAGTTTAGTATAACCGGAGTTGACTGAATTTAGTATAAGGTTTGAATACTGCAGTATTGGTTTCAGTAACAGTCACAAAAATAAGGTAAAATTGAAATTAAACCAGGTTTCATTAAATCGCGTTATATTCTCAGTTAAACTGGAACATTCTGCTTTTATGTTATCTTCGAAAACGTACTGAAAATATTGAGGAAACGAACAGCAGAGGATACGATTTGGATTGAAAGATAATCTTTCCTTCACAACATGGGGAAAAGGACTCGGGCAGAGATGTGATATAAGATGAACTGAAAATCCAGCAAGGAAAAGACACCATTTGTGGTGATGTCCTATTTTTTTGAACCACGGTCCACTCGCTTCGTGGTCGTGATTTCAATGCTATGTAAGATAAGTTTATTTAAACTGCAATTGGGTATAGCCCGCTGTGAGCTATTTACATAACATTACATAACATAAGAAATATGTATAGTACTTGTACACACTATCCTTCTTATTTTCAAAAGTAATCATGCAGAGGGCTGCACGATCTGCTGACCATGTAAACTGTTCTTAAAAAATGGAAATCTTCACGAAGGTTTAACGTGATTTCTATTGTACTGAAGATCGTCGCTGTTGCACATCACTAGTTCACTGATTTAAGTATTGCTTTTTTTACTTTTACAAAATAAAATTATTTTACGTACTGTAAAACAAACGCATATACATATTACATGGCAAAGATATCGAGAAAACATTAACACCACTGGTGTCATCGTCACATTTCCCGGTAGATTTGTCACAAGAAAAGCAACTTTGACTTTCGCGCCTCGTCACATCAGATGGACTGCCTCGTCTCATTCCTACTCCTCCAACGCCGCTTCTGCTCTCTCGGGCAATTTTTCATTTTTTTGTGTGTGCGCGTTATTGCTTGCATATTGCCGCATTCCCGACGAGCCCCGCCAACAGGAAAATAAGGCTTACGGCGCAATTATGGCAATTACCAGTCAAAGCTAACGATCGCCCCACTGTAAACCCGCATTACTGCGAGTAGTATAAAGTAAATATGGTTCAGCGCCCGGTGCGCAAAGCAGAAGTCAACGCTCGAACGCAGCAATTTGTCGCTGGATTCCCGGAATGCCGCCGTTCGTTGACGTGGCGGCGCGGCGTCGGCCACGCAGTGCTTGCAAGCTGAGTCACGGCAGCGTAGGCCTCTCCTGAAGGGTCACTTTCTCCATTGTTTTTAAGGGCCTTTTTTCGATTGATTGATTAGAGTTTCCGGGCGCGCCAACTGCTCAGCTCAGTTGTCCCGTAATTGTGGTGAATGTTTGTTTTCCTGTGGGGGTGGCAGTGATCTTTCCCCGCTGGATGGTGTGATCGGGCGCCGACATACCCGTTGGCTAGCGGGGTTTTCCCAACCAGGTATCTTCCACCAGGTATGAACCACTGCTTCCACCGGAAAAAGCTCGAAGCTCCCGACCAGTCTCCCGGCATGTGTGATAGTGTAGTGCATGTAAGTGTAGGTTTGTGTAAGTAAGGTGACGATAGGACAAGAAAGAGGAAAGAAAGAACGCGCGCGGTCCACTTATTAGGGCGCTGTTCTGGTATTCACCTCGTATTGATCGGAGAAACCCCGGAAAACATGGAAACACGGAAAGCGTGTCGCTAGGAGGTATTTTTATAAAAAATTAGAGTATCTAAATGTTGTCTCTTAGATGACATTTGGGCTTGAAGTTCATTTCATATATCTGTCACATGCAGTAACAAAGTATTTTTCCTTTGAAACAAAATGTCGCTGTAAAAATAAATTCATACTAAAGTAGTTACACGATCGAAACCAGTGTGTCAATTTCTTAACATATTGTACTTCCATATTTTAAAATTTAGAATTATCTGTTAATACTACACAGTAATAAAAAAATCACAGAAGTCCCTACAATAATTTCCATTTTCCACAAAAATCCATGACGTAAACTGCTTTATCGAATACGACGATCGGCTCAGTTAAGCGCAGAGCCAGCGCTGCCACTGAATCTCCAGCGACTGTGTCCGGAAGGTCCTGGGTTCAATCCTGACGTTGGCGTATCTTTCGATACTCGTTTTATAGCAATGCCAATTCAACCGCTGTTTACAGGATAATCTAGCTATCAGTTGCTCTGATCGGCAGTGTTCCGTAGATTCTGTGTTCAATACCAGGACAAAGCCGGAGCAGTACCATAACAAACGGGCCACGGGCACCTGAGATCTTTTCATCTTCCTTGTCTTATCACCTTGAATTACATTCATTACAGTAACACTCATGTCAGGTCCAGATGACCGGAATACAGCATGGGGATGTCTACGTGCTAATCACACGTACTTCTTTAACCCATGGCCGTGAGGCAGGGACGTCGCAGGTAGACCTGAGGCCGTTCACGGGCTGTCGCGCCAAATACATACACACAAACAATATCGAGTGAGGAAGAAACCTCACATCCTCCCGCAATAAAATATTCATCACACTAACGGGTTTGATGACATAGCATTTGACGGGCACCAAAACATCACAATATCTATCAATCAAGGTATCTATTAATCTATCTATCAATCTATCAATCTATCAATCTATCAATCTATCGATCTATCGATTTATCAATCTATCAATCTATCAATCTATCAATCTATCAATCTATCGATCTATCAATCTATCAATCTATCAATCTATCAATCTATCAATGTATCAATCTATCAATCTATCAATCTATCAATCTATCAATCTATCAATCTATCAATCTATCCATCTATCCATCTATCCATCTATCCATCTATCCATCTATCAATCTATCCATCTATCCATCTATCAATCTATCAATCTATCAATCTATCAATCTATCAGTCTATCAGTCTATCAGTCTATCAGTCTATCAGTCTATCAGTCTATCAGTCTATTAGTCTATCAGTCTATCAACCTATTAATCTATCGATCAAATAATTGAAATTAAGGAAGAGTCTGGTATTGCGATCTCCCTAAACTAGCTCATTGAAGTCTTTTAAATTCAATCTTATTTTTAAAGAGACATGTATGATTCAGAAGCAAATTGCATCTGACACGTGCTCAACCACCACATCACATTCCAATGTCGAGAAAACCGTGCCAGTCCCTCGCGGCTCCACGAAGCCCGAAAAGCTCCTCCGAGCAACAGGTGTGAGCCACGAGGCAACGCGTTAATCTCGAAGCGAGGCGCTTACGATCGGTTTCGGTGTTGGAGGTGTGAAGACGGCGGGTGGGCGGGCGAGAGGACGGCGAAGCAGCGAGAGGGGTGGCGGCGAGCGGGCGGGTGGAGGGCTGGCGAGGAGTAAGTTGATCTGCCGTAAGTCGGTTTGTGGGAAGCGGCCGGTCGTCCGACAGCCTTCGCGCCGTGCGATGACGAGGCCGCTCCGGGCTGCTCGCCCTCCGCTTTGGCTCCGTCATTCCCCTCGGCAGTGGAGTAGGATGGAAGCAGATGGACTGTCCGATGTGTGTCGTCCCAGATACTAGGAGGAAAAGCGGCGAACTTTTGTAATTCGCTTTCTCGTGAGTGTGGTTGCTGTTTAATTACTTAGAAGTTCGTTCCTGTGTTACAGTAGCAGTGTGATAAATATAATTAAAAAATCAGATTATGCGTAATACTTAAACGATTGCATTTTCAATTAAGGCGCGGCCAACGATTTGGTTAAAATAACAGAGGACGTGCTAATTATTTAGTTAAAATTTATATTTTTGTATAGATCCTGATCTTTTGTAAAAATAAGCAAATATACATGTAAAAGTTTATAATTCACGACACTTCTTTCCAACAAGACAAAAATTGAAATGTAATTTGAAGCTAGACATTTGCGGCTGGACTTATAAATTATCACTTAAGTAATGTTACATTGCATATTGTTGCAGCGTAACGCATTCATGCAGAAGTCGTACAGGATTCGTTCTTGAGGGAATAGTCAATACTCTCAAACTTTTTAATGCTTTACATTTGGTTTCTGGTAGAATTTTGTTCGACAGGAATGTAAAACAGTTATGTTTTAATTGAACCAGTTCTTTTTTCCATTAACTCACGCGTTGTTGGTGCAACTTCTACAAGAAGGAAACTATTCACACATATCTTTGCGATTAATGTATTTCCAATTGCGAACAGAATATTGTGGACTGGAAGGGATCCACAGATTGGGGTCACTGATTAATGACGCTATTTTTTAGAGCTGTTAATCATTGGTTAAATAACTTTTGAACAATAGCTCCCAAGTTACCCTGTAACAGTGATTTCTCAGGATCTAGCCAATGCAGATGTCCGACAAGTACTTCTATCAAAACAATTCACATTATGTTTCGCTTAGGATATTAAAAAAGGGAAACGGAGTCACTACTACGAATTGAGACAGACTGGTACTACTCTCACGAAAGAAGCGGAAATTACAGTTAATAGGTGTTTTCACTGAAATGTTTCAGAGGAGAGCTTGCTGACTTTACGGTCGTCGATTTAATGAAACAAATAGTGCATATAATGGGATGGGGAATTGAAAAATGGTCTTTGAACTGAAATGTGGCATAGGGCCGTGCTTGTAAGCAAATACGGCCGTTTTAAACGTAAATATCGACTTTGACCTTAAACTAAACGATTAAACAGCATTTTACTGTAAAGAAGTGAACATTTCCGAAATGTGGCATTAATAAAATACATGACCACTATCAAAAGGCTGCGTCAATCAGTCTCTGTCCCTCGCGCTTTCCTCGTATTTTTTTAGTCGCCTAGTTTCTCCATCAGGAATCATTGCCCCGATAGCAACAGAGTAATGTATCCGTGGGGCACTTCCCTTTATTTACGTAAGCTTCGCCGACAGGTGAGCGCCTTCCGCGAAGTGGAGCCCCTCCGCCAAATAACAAAAGGCCGTCTTTCGACAGAGCGATAGCATCTCAGAGTGTGAAGCAGTCGCAGAGCGAGGCGCGCGGCTTCGAGAGCGCTCTCGTTTGTCAGCGCTTTGCGGAATGAGGAGGAAGTTCGCGCAGTTGGCCACACGACTTTACGAGAGAGCGAAAGGTTTTCTTTACTCTCGTATTAGAAGAAAATCAGCTCTCTGTCAGCTTCTTTTCACTTTTTATTTACGTTAGGTGATTGATGTACTTGGGCTGTTATGGTTCAAGGTAACTGCTAAGGAAGCTGCTAATCTTGCTTCGCTGGATGGGGTGATTGGGCGCCGACTTGCAGGGTATTTCCCTCATCAGATATGTCACCCAGAGGGGTATAATCTCAGTCGGTGTCGCCCCAAATTATCATTACAGCTGAATTATCACTCCAACCGAAACGAGAAAGAACTAAATACAAAAAGGGTACATCACTTTTTATTGTATGAAGAAATTTAATTTGTACTTTACGGATTGTTGTCCTTTTACCTAGAGAACACAGCCAAACAAACATATTTATGCCCAAAATGGGTCTCAAACTAGAATATTTTGAGACGGCTCGCGCACCAGCCAATCTTCTTAGCACTTTTTTACACCTATGCTAGTTACCCTCTAAATTTCAGTAGGGCACGTAGTAAGGCACGAGTACACTGGCGGGCTCTTCTGATGCGGGATGTGAGAATGTCTGTCTCTCCCGACACAACATCCCCAAAATCCAGAAAATTTCAAACACCCTTGCCCAGGAAACGATAACCCTCTCCATGAATCCATGCTCATGATATCTGCAGCAATTGGGAGGAAGACAAGACGACTCATGCTTATTTTAAAAATGCCAAAGATATCCTACCACAACACCGACTCATGCTTAGCCAACTCGGTCATTCTTGTCGACTTGTTTACTTTACTTCTCCATTGACATTTAAAAAAATGTTTTCTGAAATGTAATGAACTTACGTAGCAAATATTATTAGTCTTTACATTTTCCCCCCAAATCTTTTCATCTGTTCAATGTGATTTTTCTTGCTTCCCCGCCTTCTATCTTCCTAATATTTATTTTGTTTTATAAATTGTATAATTCTACTGAATGCAACCAAACCACTGTTCATTAGGAAACATTTATTCATGGTTATTTATATAATTGTTTACACACAAGGTTTTACATGTTCATTCTCAAAATTTATCCAAAGTATGCCTTATCAATGCAATCCACACCCAGAAAAAAGGTCGTGGGGGTGTATGTGTACTGTAAATAAAACAAAATTCTTTACTTTGGAGAATGCAAACATTATATAAGAAATATAATAATCATTTATGATTTGACTGTCTTAATAGGAATACAGCAACTTAGTCAAGTTGTAGTCGGGCAATATAATTACGTTATTTTATCAATCAAATAGTTTATAGTCTTACTTAGTTTTTACATATTTATTTACGGACGTGTTCGCGCCCTTCATCCATGCCATTTGGGGCCAGTGTGCTTGGGAGGCGAGGCGCCGGGAAGGGAAGGGGCGGTGTACACGCGGCGGGCGCGACGGCACCTGCCGCCGCGGCTCCTCCCGCGCCTGCGCTGCGCCCGGAATTCCTGCGCGGCCGCCGCTCGCCTTATCGAGGCGCGCTTCCTCCGCGGAGGGCGCGTGCACCCGCGTGAGGCGGCGCCGCCACCGCCATTGCCACTACCAGCGTCATCGCCGCCGCCACGGTCGCCGCCGCCGCCGCCACCGCCACCACCACCGCCGGATGAATTAAACATCTGCGTACGCTGAGCGCCGCACTGGGCCACTGTAGGCGACGGCGATGGGGGTTGTTCGGGAGGAGTTGTTTTTTGGGGCCCTTGCGGAACGCCGGATTCTCAGAATTCAGATGTGTGCACGTCGTTGTTGGTGCTGTAGAAGTTGGGGTACAAAGGGATGTACGTCATCAGTGGAGAGTGTTTCTGATGAGTGAAATCGTTGGAATTGGTAAAGGTAATGTTGTTTGGGTCTGTGCGGGATGTTGTAATGTCTAAGATCAGAGTCGTTAGTACAGAGGTTCATGGTTAGCGATGCGTAAGACTCTAATATTCGCGTTGAGAAAGATATTAGGATGGGGTAATTTTCTAGTAAGAAAGGACATATGCGGTTGTCCGTTTTGTATTGATAGTTTGATTTTCTAAGAGCACGTTGTCTGTTCTTAAAATTGAATAGTCTCTTATCGAAACCGTGGTGTCTCTTTTGAAAATAAAACTGATGAGGATTTTATTGGCGAGAACATTATGATATATGGGGTGATGAGCAATTTTAAAAATTAGCTGGGAAGGTGATAATTGTTTACGTCTTTTTCTTCCTAGTTCATATTTAAACTAATTTCTGATTGGTTCCTGTCTTTGTTTTAACATTTTTTCTATAATTATACTTCACTTTTTCACTAAATATATTCCTTTTTCATCTTTACTTTGGCGAAATAAACAGACATTTGATATTTCTTGTCATTATCTGTTTATAATTATTGGCAAAACTTTCTAATAGTCGTCTGTCCTGAGGTGTATTCACTATTGTTTGTCGTTGTGAGGTAGGGATGTCCTCAGAGTTCAAGGAGCAGCAGTCGTGGGAGCGATGAAATGCTGGCTTTGTGGCGTCGCATCTTCAGGGTGCATGGAGGGCGTGGGGTAGATCTTGTCTCAGTGACGAATGCGTCACACGGGGGGCGTGCGGACGCTCGACGCACCCGAACGTCCCGTTCTGTGCGCACCTCTCGCAGTCAGTCGGTGCAGCTGCTGGGGTGGGTCCCTGTCTTCTAGCTGTATGTGACACCCTCCTCTAGCGTTTTGAGATCTCTTCGCTCGCAATGCTTGAGACGATGCTGTATGGTGAAGTGTGGTCGGATTGGAAATTAAAGCGCGTGGCTCCTTGACCCCATTGAATTTACTTCTTGCAATATCAAGCAAACTTATATGTTTCATTTTATGTCCCAGTCACTTGTAATGGCATTAGTGGTGACACGTATATCTAGTAGGTTTTCACGTAGCCATTGTACGTTTCTTGCTTCTCCTTCCCCCTCTCTCTGTGGCAATTTACTCTTCTTCATTGCCATTATCGCAATGCATAGCCACTGCAATTACGACTCGAGATAATCCGAAACGTAAAATGGATATTAGTGGTTGCCAAACGTGTACCTTGACACATTTGCGGGCGAAGAGTCTTTGTGAATAAGAACAGAGAGTTATCTGAGTTAACCTAATCGGCGAACTCCTCGATTCAAAGATTATTTTCGGAGTAATCCATGATTGACAATACGGCCGTTAGAGTACTATCTGACGATCTTTACCGAGTACCTCATTCCCTTCGTGGTTCTGGGGTATCTCTTCCCTGACAAAATGAATAAGGTAATGTATTGAAGACTAATATCTAAAATCTCGTCTATACTTTATAGTATTTTTTAATACATTATTTATAACTTATAGGTCAAAGAAATGTTCTCATAAGTGTGGCATCAAAAACATTATAAATGGACTATTTACCATCAACTGGTAAATATTAATTTTTTAATTCACAATTTTCCCAGATCATTCCAAAACCATTTTACCTGGCTTTTAGCTGCAATATATGCTCAGTATAGTAACGACACTTGTTGTTTTACCCCTTATTGCAGTAAATTGCAGCTTGATTCAGATGATCTATGAAACTAAAACCTGAAACGTGCACTCCGCTACGCGATTATTGAGTATCTCATACGTCAAGTTGCATTCTTGTCGCATACTGAAAAATACTATATGAGTTCTTTGCGGTTGTAGATGTTTAAACGTTCCTGTCCGATATGTCAATAACCGGTCGTACTCTTTCGTTTAGAGACAAGAACCGGTTGCTTCTGGTTAACCACACGCTGAAAAATGATTCTAAAATATAGTCCTCCGAGATGCATCACAATACTGTTGAAGTGAATTTGTATTCCGTGCTTGAACTTGCAAAGGATGCAACTGTAGATGAATAATCTCATCATACATATTTTTTAATATACCAACTTTTTATTTCACAAATTGATGTCCTACTTTTTATTTCACAGAGTAATGTTGTTGTCTTTCGTACATTGTCATTCTTTTTATTATATGTGAGATTTTAATTTCATAATCATGCATTACCATGGACTCATTTTGTATTTGGTTTTTTATAAGTCAAGAAATTTCTATTGAGATAGTAATTTGCTGTAAGTAATTACGCTGTTCAGTCGTATTTCAAATGTTAAACGTTAACAAAATAACAATGTATTGTAATGTCAAACCGTCATTTGGCCTTATCAAAAGTATAATTTGGGTGAAGATACTTTACCCATTCAAATTACAGCTTTTCTGTGTACTTTTTGGCGTTTTTTCCGTTCCAAGCGATATTGAAATCGAAGGTAACTTGTTAAATATTTACAAGATAGTGCTCTTCGGCTGTAATCTGCAAAAAAAACTTCAACTCATTTGCGGTGAATGAGGCGCAGAGAACCGCCATCAGCGTTCACTAAGGAAACAAAGCGGACGACATCGCCCACACAGAGCGTCTTGCGCGGTCCAAATAAAGGAAAAGGCCCCAAGGCACCCCGACACTCCCCGACGCACCGCTTACACTACCGAGCCCGGCTCGAAGGAAGTGCAGGCACACCCTGGTTTGTTTTCCGCTCCAATATATCATTTGCCTATTGTTCCAGTTCAACGCATACAGTAGTGCTCGAGCGGTCAGTAACACAATGCCGTCCGGCATAAATCTCTACGAGTTATATATTATCGTGCATCCAGTTTACCTTACACGGGCGCGGATAACTTTCTAATAAAGGTATGTTCTATCCATCAGCCGGCCCCACGGCGCGGCGTGGCGGACGCGGGCGTTAACGAGAAGGCGGCGTAAATCAGACGGCGTCGAAACGGATCGCCGCAGTAACTCCGCAGCCGTTTCGAAATGACGCGGGAGCGCTGCGCACGTGCGCGCTGCTGCAACGCGATTGCACACGACCCACGCCGCCGCGCCGCGCACTCGGAAGCGCTGGAGGTCCTCAGGCCGATCATATTCACTATGCTCTGGTGCGAATTCGCTCTAGAAACGCTCAAGAGCTATTCACTTTTTAGTCCAATATCGGCGATCACATTAACCATGTTCTGGTGTGAATTCGCTCTAGAAACGCTCAAGAGCTATTCACTCCTTAGTCCAATGTCGGCGATCACATTAACCATGTTCTGGTGCGAATACGTTCTACAAAAGCTTACGTGCGATTCACTCCTAAGTTCAATGTCGGCGTAGTCGCGGTAGTAGAAGAGGTTTTTGAGACCAATGAGTTAGGGACGACGGCTTCACCAGGCTTAAAAATTTACAAAGAGGAGAACAAAAAACGAAGGGATTCCTCGCAGTATGTAATTCGTATTTAAGTTAACAAGATGGATTTGTTATTTGCTCGGCTCAATGTTTTTTCCAAATGTGAGAAACTTATTGGCAAGAACAGAAAAATCACAGATTTTAGAGAAGATCGTTACAGTGAGTTTCCATGAATGTGCGTTTGAAAATATTTGCATTGGCGCTTTTTGTTGGTCTTACCTACTTGTTTCCTTGGTTTAAAGAATATGGATTTTAGTGAATTTGCAAATGCAACACAAGTTTTTATTCAAAGAAATATTTAAAAATGGTCAGCCTCAATGTCTTTATGCACGTTAGGTTATCAAGTGGCTTAGAGTTGCAAAAATTCTGCTAAACAAAACCAAACATTTTCTCCCCCAAAACGTAGCAAGGAAAATGTTCTCGTATAACACTACACAAAAGTAAATATTTTAACAAAAATAGTAATTATATACGTTTTTACAAATACCACAATAGGCTAGTATAAGTTATTGTAGTTATTGTATTATAAATATACAGTACGACTTTTCTTCAAGTAGCAACAAAACTAAAAAAAAAGATGTTTTTCCATAACGTAAAGCGTGAATAGCCAATATTTAATGGCGAGCGGTTTCTTCCTTGGAACCTTGTAATCGAATGCCGTTATATGTGTCATATGAAGTGACACACTGAGGATTAAATTTCAGTCGGTGCGCATAGTATGAGAATAGGTTGCATGACACAAACAAAAATTTGCAATTTTTTCAAACAAAATCGACGTTGTGCCTCGAAGTTATGAATCGACGCCTAACGAAACCATAGACATCTATCACATGGCCGGAAGCTACATATTTTGTTTTTCAGTTTCAGTGGTCATTGGAAATGAGTAATAAACGAGTGGATGTTTTTCTATTTTTCCTGAGTTCGTGGGTTTCTAATAAAACCGTAGACACCACTTGCATTGCTGAGGGCTGCATAATTTACTTTCTATTTCTGCACTCATTAATATACATACATCAGCCCGGAATTGATTAAGAAAACACAAAAACGCCCAATCAAGACAGCCGGTCTCTAGAATAACAATCTAGACGGAAGAGTCATCCGTCCCAGCCATTGAATATATTAAAAATAATTTTACTCTTTAGATTCGACTGACCTTGCGGTCTTTGAGGCTTCAGTTGCGAAACGCAACTTCATAAGAAACACACGTGAACTTTTCTTCCCCATGCTTTTCGTCTTTTCGCTTTCCCAATCTCCCTATCTCCGGCTTTATAATGGTTTTAAACGGACCTCCATTTCTTAGTTACGTACAAAACATTCTTTTGCGTTAATTAAAGAATAAATAAGTGACCAACCCAAAGCCGGGGTGGTGTGTGGGGTGTCTCAAGCAGCTTCAGCTCCAGCAGAAGCCAAACGATATGTTTAAAAACAGCTTTTACTCATTTTCTATATTAATGAAAGTAATTTCATGTATCAATTGTTTTTGTTATAAATATTAGCTATAAGACAAATAAAAAAATACATTCAGGATAAATGAAAAATTGTTTATATGAAAACATCAAGTCGACTGGAGCTCTGCCTACAGAGAACACCACTGGGTGCCATTCTGAAAATATAAATATTGTCAATAGACCATTGGCTTATTTCACATCGATTACTAAAATTTAAGTGAATTTTTAATAGAGTAAATCACCTTCAAACAATATTGTGGTATGCGTACACGTCTGAACAGACTCGAGAGAAAGGCGGATCTGGTGCACAGCTACACGATTAGTTGGCAAAAGTAAGTTCCGCTATGGAATGTGTGAGAATTGGGGGTTTTGAGCAAAAATTGGCTGCTTTGAATCAGTGCACGTGAATACCAAAGCTTTCTCGTCCTCTCCAGACGACTATGTCGTAAGCAGATGAAGCTCTGAGTATGAGAATATAGTTGTAACATCAGAAACTTCGAGAAGTTGCGTATTAACACAATCAAATATTTACATTTTTTGGTAAAAATCAATACTGTTTCATGGCTTTTACATTTTTTAAGTCTTCCTGGATATCTAATGAATGCATTGACACCTCTCACTTGGCCATTGGTTGCTTCATTTTTCGCCAATTTATGCACAAATTCGAAACCAGTAATACAGATTTGCATTCGCACATCGAAGTCATCTTACAGATAAACGGCGTGTTGTTGGTTTCCACCGCACGGCACCCGGGCACGCGTACGCAGCGGGGTCTCACGGAGCAGGCCCCCTACACGCCGCCGCGCCACGCTGCGCCGCACAGTGGTCTACAAGAATAAAGGACGCGACACTTGCATAGTAGACTCAGGTTCGAGGTCTGATGGAATCAGATTTTTGACCAGTTTAGCTGCTTCTGATACATTTTTGGCGAAAATAGCACATACATCATAGTCTCAGGTCCGAGTTCTGACGGAGACTGATTTTTGACCAGCTTCGCATCCTCCTATTCGTTATTTGGGATGCTAGCGCAGAACTTGAAATAATGGGCTTCCCGCGAACTTTCCTTCCCCATGCTTTTCGTCTTTTCGCTTTCTCAATCTCCCTGTTCATGACTGAGTGATAAGTTCATCTCTATTTCTCGTATGGTCTTTCATCTCCAAAGAGAGCATTCCAGTGTGACGTAAGTAAGGCAACTGATAATGATAAACTCTGTTAATATTTTTATATATGCGAATATGGAAATGCAAATAAGGAGTTTTCCTTAAAACTTAAAAAAAATTAAAATACACAACGACATACGAAATTCAATGAATTGGATATCTAAAAAAGTCATAACATTGTACAGTAGGTTAATAAAGAAATTAGTTAATAATGTACAGACTTTAATATACTAAGAAACTTCCATTTAGCTTTAAAAATTACGCATACATTGTGTGTTTTTAATCCTCACGCCGTACGCACACCCACTATTTCCATTTTCAAAATCATTTCTAATTAAATTATCACTTAAATTTTGTGTAGTTTCATAATTTGCAATTTCGAAATATGTTGTACTTAACGTTTTTATTTGCGTCATCTAAATCCACTCATATTGACCACCATTAACTGGAAGCAGGCCACAGTGTGTAGCCTCTTCCCGAGAAATTCCTGCCAGATTGCTGCTCCGCCCACCTCTGGCTTCGGATTCGACATACGCCCGGAAGCTGCAACCGCCGCTCCGCGCCGCGCCGGTGCGGGCAGCGTCGCTGCCACCGCACCGTAGCACTGGCCGCATCCCGGCACTGGCCGCCTGCCGCGCCGCGACCACAATCGCCAAAAGAACGGCTGTTATCCTTTATTAGTGGCGACTAGTTGTGGAGATCTCACTGAACCTGGACTTCATAAGAAAGAAATAATAACACCAGCACACAAGCAAACAATCAAAATTGTCGGACCCAAAGATTTAACACATGTTTCTCCATGTACGTCAACGCACTGAATCCGAATCACAGTCAGATTTGCTCCATCATCCTCCAGATTTTTTTTAAATCGCGAAAAACCACAGTGAAATTTACAATTTCATGGTATTTTGTAGTTCTTGATTTTCACCGATTTCATGGTTCTTTGAGTTTGACAACTTTTTGTTTGTTTGTGTGCTTATGTTATTATTAGTTAAGTGACTACAGGGTACAGAATTGGGTCAAGTGAAAATTTTCTTTCTTCTTCTTCTTCTTCTTCTTCTTCTTCTTCACCTTCTTCTCCTCTCCTCACACTTCTCCTCCTCCTCCTTCTTCTTCTTCTTCTTCTTCACCTTCTCCTCCTCTCTTCACCCTCCTCCTCCTCCTCATTCTTCTTCTTCTTCTTCTTCTTGATTTTCATCTTGTTCTTCTTCATGTCTATCTTGTTCATCTTCATTTTCATAATCTTCATCATCATCATTTTCTTCTTCTTCTCAATCTCCTTGCCCTGCTTCATTTTCTTCTCCTCGGAGCCCCAGTCAGTATTAATATGACTTAACAACCAGTTGAGCAGTTGTCGCAATAGGAAAGCGTGTAGCAAATAAACGTCAAGCGGATTGCCTAATAAAAACCGACAGAAGTCAGCGATTTGCCGCTCTGAGCTAATTTGTATTAACCCATTGACTGATTAGCCTTTCGGTCTTTGAACTAGTTTGCGCCATTACTGGACTATTTTATGACACAATGATGTGGACAATGGTTTGATATTCTTGCTCATCACAATTAGACAAATACCCAAGGCTCATGAGGGATTCGAACTCACGACATTAACTTCCACCCGGCTTCCACCGCAGCCGCCTGCGCTACGTGAGGAACTCGTTTGTGCTCTTGATCACTTCTTTACACGTTCCAGAGACCGATAGATTCGCTTCTCTTCTTTTGTCTTAGTCTCAGAGTCGTGCTATTGAAGGAAACCATATATAAACTCACAAAGGAATACGTTTTCGGACATTGTAAGATCCACTCTTCCGAATCCGAGCCAAGGAGCTAATTTATAGAGCCTGCAACACTTAAATTTGCAATGTGTAATAAATATCATCAACGGTTGGTATAATACACGTTTTTTATTGAAACGAGGCAATGAAGCGAAATATTTTAGATGAAATAATTGGAATGAAAGAGGAAAAATATACTGAGTTTGATCGATCCATCACTCATTCTGCACTCTCTTTTATAACTCTATATTAGTTGTTATCTATTCATGTTGGACACCTCTCAAAATCACAGTTTTCTAAATGATTTTAAGAACCAATATAGAAAGGATTCAATAAATAATTGTTTCTAGTAAATACGAGCTATCGAAGGTAGGTAGGCCAAATCATCAATATGGGAACTAGTTTGCGTTTAAATATCAGTTCTGTAGAGTTCACGCGTCGTCAACATCATTTTTTGCTTCCTAAACGCATTTTAACTATGCCTAAATCTAAAAAAAATTCACAAACGGTTCTCTACAATACAAACTGTGTGATCATCTCGGGCATTCCGCTCATGAGCATTCCTGTCCGCTCCGTTCGCATCCGTTGGCGGGAAATCAAAAGATGGACGCCACCTGCCTCCATCCAGAGAGTTACTTCAGCCGGAGTACTTCCACCCGCCACCAGATTTTCATTATTGGAATTTGGGGGTAGGGAAATGGTATGAGCATCTCTAATTTGAAACTGCAGAAAATGTTTATGAAACGTTTCCTTCACCAACTCGTTCCCTCCCACCAACATTCTCTTTCGCCGCACCCCGTAAGAATTGGAATAAATCATAAATTCAGATATATTGTAGAAAATGTTCTCTTGAATTCGAACTTAATCTTCTTGACTAGAATTCCTCTCCTCTCTTCACGCATCCGTACGCGTGAAACAGAAAGTCGGACGCCATCGGCCTTCACTAGCCGGAGCAATGGTACATCGTTCGCTTCCACTTCTTGGTTTTGATTATTAGGCGACTAGTTAGGGGAAAGGATGATGTCTTCATCTATCCTGAACTGCGGAACATTTTTATAACACATTCTTAGAATGCAAATTCTGACAAGTGTACGCGTTCTTCTCACCAGGTTTCTCTTGCACGCTCCTTTATGCATACGTGTAAATTCATGAATTAGAGATACGGTAGAAGACGTTCCCCAGAATTCGAACCCAGTACTCGTGACGAACATTCCTCTCCACTCTCCATGCATCCGTCCGCGTGAAATCGAAAGTCGGACGCCACCAGCCTCCGCCTACCGGAGTAACTGTAGCGAGCGCGGGTGGCGACGACGGCGGCGGCGGAGGAGAAGGAGGGGGAGGAGGAGCCGCCGCCCGCGACGACGACGACGACCGCTCGGCGCGCGCTCTCGCGGAGGAAGGCCGCGTCCGCGGCGGCAGGTACGAGCGGCGGCGGCGCGGCGCGGCGGCCAGTGCGTCTGTCGCGGTTGCACCGAGCAGTCGCGGCGCCCGGCTCGCTCCCGGCCGTCCTCACCTCCGCCGCCGCCACCGTCCGCACCTTCGCCTGCGCTGCGTCGCACGTGTCCCCCGCCACGTGCCCCGCCCGGCGCTCCGTGTTTACCAACGCGGGACCACTCGGCCTCGCCGCATCGCGTGACGCCGGCCACCGCCGCTTGCTGCGGTCCGCCGCGGTGTGTAGTAACAACCAGGCAACGACCTCAATTAAAATAATGTAGGAAGCGCCGCGTTCGGGAAGAGCGGCCACCGGGGGGTTTTACGGGTACGCCCGGAATTTTAACAACTGGCAGAAACGACGGATGGTGTGTTTTTTTCTTCATCGTCTTCTTCACGTTCTAGCTGATGGTTGTGTCAGTGCTGTTTGTGTCCCTGACAGACCGTCTCTGAAGAGACTTGTGACTCATACTCTGGGGAATCGGTGTGCGGGTGGCAGTCGAGTGCCGGATCGGTGCAGTGTCGCGGGTGCGCGCGCGTCTTCGACGACGCGGCTGTGCCAGAGGGAAGGCGTGTTCGACCGGAGGTAAGTTCCGCCCGCTCCTGCTGTTTGGTTTCGCCGATTCCCGCGCGCGTCGCCGCGACGTGGGCCACGGCCAAGGCCGGAGGGCGCGCGGCCTCGCGCACGCTGCACGCTGCACGTTGCACGTTGCGCGCCCGTGCGCACGCGCCGGCGCCGGGGGAGCCCGAGGCTAAGCGGCCGTAGCTTACGCTCTCGCGCACGCTGCTAGGAATGGCGCCAACTTACCTTTTTTTACAAATACGATTACAATTTATCTCAGTATTGACGCCGATAATTTGTTTGTTGAATTGGATTACAGCGAATAATAGTACTATCGGTTGTTAATTTCCTGGTATTCAATGAAATAGACAAAATAAAGTAAATACAACTTTTCACACATTCGTTTATCTGATCAATGAACAGCCACTCACTTACGTTTCAAATCTTAACTCATACATTTCTGGGTATCTTGTGTTTATTGAAAGTCCATTTCAAATGTAGCTGCTTCATTCATACTTCTCATTTACTAAGAGCCTTTTGACGTTTAATGTCGAATGAAAACTAATGAAGCGAAATGCCTTTAAATTTCATTCAATAAAATCCACGTGCCTGTTTTGGTCTTTCAAAATATTACAAAATAAAGTAATATTCAAGTATGTGCAATATTTATCGGCTCTTTAAGTATAAGAGAGTGCGTTACTTGTCACTCGCGAGGACCGCACGAAGCGGGGCTTCAGTACTGAGAGACGAATGCGACGCCGTGACTCCATGTATGTGCAAAATTATATGCCAAGATTCTCTGCACGGCAGAAATGCACATCATGCATGTTTCGCTTTGTTGCGTTAGCGCCGTTACAGGTACACAGACTCTTCACGACTCATATAGTTATTGCAAGAAAAGAAACTAGTGTTAAGTATTTGGCACACAAATTTCTATTTAAAATATTACCTTGGCAGAATGTTTGTTGGTCCTGAAGAACTGTGACATAACGTATTTCGTGATCTTCAAATATAGCGATGAATATTTTGCAAGCATTGAATAAAAAGTTCTATATTAATGGAATTAAATAAGACATTTTCGAACATGTTTCAAACAGAATTAAATACGACATTCGAAGTGTTGTCTGGAACACATTTAATAACGTTTGTTTAAGTATTTTTTCCTTAATTTTGAAAAATTCTTATGATTGTCAGATTAATTATATTTTGTTTGGAATTATTGGCATCTGATCATATAAATATTCGGGATTACGGAACATTTTCTTGAAGCAATAACCTAGTTAATCATCATACTTACATTCTCCTCAACTATTGCCAACTGGAGCAATCGGTTATCAAAGAACTGCACAATATTCTTTTGAAAATCTCTTTTTTGTATTCATCATAAAACTATTGATAGTGATGAATATCAAGGGTATATACGGTTGAAAGCAATGCTTCTTGAAATGTTTATCTAGTATCTGTTATGAAATAAGTGTTTTCCTAACATGTATGTTGTAATTACCAAGCATCAAATATATTATTATTACTCGAAACTTCACAAACTCAGTAAGGGGCCAAATTAGATTGTTCTACAAAAGTCTTGCGTACAGGAATCTTGTGTGATTGTACAGGAATCTTGTGTTTTACGAATGAGAATAGTGCTGACAATGATTAATTTTGTTGTGATATCATGATAAACTTCAGTGAAAAATATTTAGTTTTATTTCTTTTATTTGTGTTTGTATTAAAACTAATACTGTTTATAGACGGTAAATTCTCAAACATTGCACTGAAGTTTAGAGTGCATTCGTTAAATATCTGACAAAATGTATCAGTTCGTTCTAGTGCTGCTTTGTCTTGAGTCACACGCATCGTAACAACATTTGTACAGCTTGAGCTATCTGTATATGCCAATTTTCACGAACCCTACGAGTCCAGGTAGGTGAAACTTAAATGCAGGCGCTTTTTCCTCTCTATCTAAACATTCTCTTCTCATGCTAAATGTTCTGGCCAATGAGGGTAGCGCTGAGAGAGTTCCGTCAAGGCTTTGGCAGGCGCGATGTCCCCTCGCAGCATTGGCGCGCTCGTACACTTCTGCTTCGTGTTCTCGCTTTCGCTAATGATTAACCCCTCCCATCCATCCGTCTGCTTCAGGGTGCCCCGAAGTTTGCCGTTTCTTCCTTATACACGCTCCTCATGCACTCGTTTCAACTCTGTCACTCATCAGCCGGGCGCTGTTCAGCTGCCAAGCCTCAGTCCCCATATACGTCACAAGCAGAAACTCATTTGGTCCCCATATTTCCCCCACTCTCCCTTTTATTCGCTTCGTCAAACCGTCGTCGCTCCGCAAACCGCTTCGTTGTCCGTTCACTCGCTCGTCTCACCGGTCGCGTTCACCCCACCCGACCGTTTCAGGCGATTTGCCAACCGACCCCTCGCATCACCCGCCAGCTTTACGCGCCCGTCTCGCCCGCAATGCACACCTCTGCTGACAGCTGCGTCGGAGGGCCTCACCCGCACGCCTCATCTGTCAGCCCCTCCCGCTCTGCCTGCCTCGCCCACTCCTCCTGCGCGCCTAGCCCGCGCGCCCGCCCGCATCGCCCGGGGGCGCCGCGAGAGGGCGACGCACCCGCTGCACAGTCAGGCCGCACCGCCACCGCGCCGCGCCGCACAGTGGTCCAGAAGGACTCCATTTACTAGATCGGGCACGCGTTGACTTGGAGATTCATTGGTGAGAAAGCCAGAATGTACACATAACATCATTGTTTTACGTAAATACAAAACAAACAGCATTGCGACTAGCCAAAAGATATATCTTCTCTCCCTTTTTCGCTTTCTCCTTCTCCTCTTTCTTCTTCTTCTTCTTCTTCTTCTTCTTCTTCTTCTTCTTCTTTTTCCACTTCCCCTCTCCTCCTCCTCCTCCTCCTTCACCTCGGTGATCCGGTTTAATTGAATGTGCCATTCCAATTATTGTAGGGGTCAACTCGAAAACGTGTAACACGTGGATGTCAAGCGGGTTGCCTAATAAAATGATTGACAGACGACGGCGATTAGCAATGCTGAACTTATATTTATACTGTTTTTCAACGGACGTCTCATTTAAAATAGTAAATGTACGAGACATTAGCAAATGCGAGGAAGCAGCACATGTAATATCATAATAGGGTGACCAGTAGTAAGTCCGCTCTTCTTCCACCGCTGGCACCGGGTACCAAAGCTCTGTTGATTCACGAAGAATGTGTGGTGGACATAGTGAGTTCGTAGCAGAATTTCCACAGATTCTCCTGTTTCTCCCGCATCACATTCCACAAATGTTCGGTTTCATTAAGGTTGGGTGCCAATGCACAACTACGGTTAGGTACAGAATGATAAAGAAACAGAAAAGCTGAGAAATACTACACTTTTGTAATATATAACATATTCCGTAGAGCTTTTCTCAGCCTAACTTCTGCTCAGTAGGGAATAACGTGAAACATTCACAAGACACGCACATGCAGACTGCTCATATCAGTGGTCAGCAATACGAGAAGCCCTCCGCGAATTGCGATAGACACATATAGGCGAAATACAATCCTTCGTATCGTGGAGTTGAGTCGACACCCGCTCTTAGCTACCTTTTGTACCTGCGTTCATAAACTTTTTTCTATTCGTTAATAATATTGTCAATTTCCAATTGGTTTATTTTTATAAACTGAGTAAATTGTGTACATTCCTTTCTAGATGGTTTATGCAAATCTTAAAACTTGTGTTAAAATATTCGTATGTTGAAGGATTTCTTCGAATATCGAATAGAAAATTGGTTTATAAACGAATGTGTTTATGTCATTCATGTAGATCAGATACTTGTTCGTTTTTGGATCTAAAATTCTATTTTATCAGTTTGATAGTTACATTTTATGCACAATATTAAAATAAATGTCGAAAAGTTTAGGTTTGTAACAAGCCCAGTATTTAGTATAACTTGTTGAAGTTCCTACACGTACATTAACCGTATTTACACATATCATGCCATATGTAGCAGTATTTGTGCCCTGAATGAAGAATGTTATTAAAAATTTAGTGAGCCTTTTCTACGCAGTTCCGTAACCAATTAATTCTCACTTTTTTCATTCCTCTTCAAATCATAGTTCTCCAAAACATAATAGCAGTTGTAATTTCAATAACTCATGAATTGCAATTAACTGCTCCATATCAAGCATCTTGTATCATTCAACTCTTTTCTCTAAAAACTAGCAAATTATGATACATTACTCAACAGCCATTAACTTTTTTGAGCGCGCCTTCTGGTTTTGAGACTAGTGTACGTTTGGACGCAACAGGTCCAGTTGCGACGGCGTGGCGACGACCTCCTGATTAGACAGTCGTGCAAAATGGATCACACTGAGGACAAACGGGGCGCAGCTCTGGAGTCACCTCTGTACATATGAAGGTCAAGAAAGGTGACCATTTTGTACCATTTACAATCACCATTGTTCCAATAAGTGTGTGGATCCCCGTAAGAGTACTACTGCTGTACGGGATAGTATCCCCTAGGGATTCATCAAACTGACTTTAGGCGACACATTTTGAGTTTCGCAGATTACCATGTTAGGAAAATAGCCGATGTAGATGGCCAAAGGGGGCTAGAGGATGTGCTGACTCAGCGCTTTGGTCTGAAGGGTCGCGGGTTCGAGTCACGCCGTGTGCATAGTTGTTTGACTCATGCTTTTCATGTATGTGGGTTGTTGCGGAAGGCCTTATTACTCTCCTGACCACAGACCGAGTCAACAAGTGTGTCAGTATCTAGTGTAAAAAATTAATATGTGTCCCTATGACGGACATAGTGGGTAACCAGCGCGAATAGTCGAAATCAACATCCCCTGAAGCTGGAAAATGCCTCAGAAAAAATGTAAGGTAAACATCATTCGTAAATAAAAACCGTAACACACGTTGACTCGGAAACAATACAATCACAATATTACTACTAGTTTTCGTGTTCTGTCCGCGAGGTGTGAATATTGTATGCCATAATCTACCAAGTGAGACTATTTTCGACACTTTTG